CCACACCCTCCCCTTACCTGAGCTCACCCTTTTGTAAGGGGCAGGATTTAGAAGGAGGAGGGTCTTCTTGAGTTTTTCCTTATGTCACATTAGAGAAAACATGTAACCAGTTACAGAGAAGCTAATAGCATCACAATCTGGGTATATCGTATCCAAAAATATCAAGTATCACAACTTTAGTTTTTAAGACAGTTATACCTGAAACCCACAGGCTGAGCACGGGGTCTCATTGTTTAGTGGAGTCTGTTAAAGGGCACATGCAACTTGGGTGATGGGGCTGGTAAAATGGGACTCAGCTCTGTGTTTAGGAATGAATCAGCCTGATGCCGGAGTAATACATAACTGCTTGTTTCCCTCCCAGGGCAGAGATTAGTGAGGCGGTGGAAGTATTATCATCTCCTAGTTAACCATCATTTCTAAATGTGCCTGAAGGTGACCAAAGAGTAATGCCCCACTGGTCTTTGGAGTTGTTCCTCGTGTCCTAGTAGGCTGGAATAGAAAGAGGCCTTTGAGATTCCATCCTAATAGCCAGTCACCATGTGTCTCCAAGTCCCATTCCAGGTAACTTTCAAGTATCTGAAGCGTCTAGGCAAGAATGTGATGTCAATAGAGTGGGAAGCCAGCGAAGGGGGAAGCAGGGACTGAGAAAGGCCTCATGAGCTGAAGATAACGAGTGGACCTTATCAAATATTTGGCCACTGCGAAACTTTATAATGATCGATTTACTGTCTGTGCCATCTCTATAAAAGGCTTTACATCTGGGTTGTGTTTTGAGATTCTAAGAAAACAACTTAATCTCTTAATAAAAAGCAGACTTTGGATTCTGAAATTTAATTTTTAACATCAAGCAAGCTTTTTTTTCTTTCTGCCTTATTCTGCTTAAATGTGATTTGGGGTGGCACCTTTTTATTTGTCTTAGGACTGCATAGAGAAATTGATGAAGACTCACTTCTCAGATGCTCTTATTACGTATTCTGTAAGCGTGGTCTATCTTCTTTCTGTCCTGCAAAACTTTCACTCTGCATCTACACCAGGGACAGAGACGTGTGTGCGAATGCGCATGCGCCTGTGATGCGCCCCATGTCAGAAAGATAATGCTCCTCTGCAGAGCGATAGCGTCAATGCTCACGGCTCAAATATGTTCAATTCACATTTGAGAAGAAAAGAGGACGTGACCAATGAGCATTGCCAGTGAAACCTTTCTTCTTGGAAACATGCCTTAGCAGCACGGTCATGCCCGTTTGAACATGCACAGGCTGCTGCTCGTGGGATGTCCAATTTAAGCCCTGAGGAGCTTCAGCTGCCTTCTGTGATTGACACATTCATCTCCTCTCCCTACTTCCCTGGTGATGAGCGCTCACCTCTATTTTTATTTGACCTGAAGCCAGTTGCACTGATTCCAAAAGAGAGAAAAGGGCCTGCCCTGGCTTCTCTCCCTGCAAGCCGGCCTGCTGAAATGATTGATAATTCCCAGGGACACGTCTCTGAAGAGTAAGTCCTTTTCATTTGGCCTGTTTTACAATGACTTTCTCATACTGATTCTTCGTTTGAGAACTAGACAGCACCCCATTATTTAGCCATGAATGCAGGGATGTCACTAAAGGTGGCCTCATATTATGGCTTAAAGGCCTATTAGAAATCTCATTTTGCTTTTTGGAGATGTCATTGTGATGCAAAGGGTTGAGGGTTTCATTGCTGGTGAAAGCCCTTTGTCAGGCTCACCTAAGACCTGCCTCTTCTCTTTCCTACTGCTATTCGCAAATAGGAATATGGTTACTTTGAGGATTTCATGACATCAGTAGTGAAAAACATACTTAAAGCAAGAAAATTGCCGCTACAGAAAGCCGCCATCAACCGTCCCCCTCAGACACAAATGACAAACTCCACTGTGTTTAGCTGTCCTGACAGGATTTCCCTGTGGAGTTTCAGGCCAATGAATATCTGCCAAGTTATTGCTGTAAGGCAAAATGAAGAGGACATTTTCTATGATTATACCTTCCCTCCTCCCGTTTCTTTCCTAGGCAAATGACTGTGTTTTCTTCTATTTAACACTCAGCGGCTGCCTCTAGGCTCTCACTTCTGTGTTGGTGACCTTGCCAGTGGCTTCTCCTCCTCTCCCAGGTCACTCCCTGTGTTTCCTGGGTAGTTTGCATGCTCAGCGGAAAAAGGTCAATGACCACAAATGAGTCCCTTTACCCTTCTGTACCTCAGTTTCTTCAACTCTAAATGAGGGATAACAGCAACTCATTATTCATATGAGGATTTAGCGGTGTGGGTAGTACTTAGCACACAGCTGGGTATAGAGGCCGTGACTCTTTCTAATGTATTTATTAGGTGCCTACTGTGTGCCAGCCCTTGTCCTCCGTGCTGGGAATACCAAGAGGAGCAGGCACAGGACCAGCCTCTGTCTTTGCAGAACTTTCAGTCCAGTGAAAGATCTGAGCATTAATTAGATAATTACATGAGCTTATATCTCCAAACTGGGCAAAGGACTAGCAAGGAAAATTACAGGGAGCCTCACTGGACCCTGACCTAATCAAAGGACATTTTTCAGTAACCTCTGAATGGAGAGCAGAAGCCGTAAGAGTAAACCAGGAGAAAGAGGTGTCAGGCCCGCAACAGCCCGAAGGTGCATCTGAGCAGATTAGGAAAAGCAGTCCCTATGTGAGGGCGGGTGTGGCCCCACACAGAGGAGCATGTCTTAGCAGGCAGAACATAGGCTGGGTTGCCTGTAGGCAGAGTACAGCCTTGTACAACTGGATGAGGTGTAGTGGCTGGAGACAGGATCTTAGAGCCAAAGGAGAGTCTTTGCAAAGGCCCTGAGGTGGGAGGGAGCATGTCACATCGTAGGAGCAGGAACACAAGGAACAAGGCTCAGTGGGAGGTCCAGAAAGTGCTCAGCACATCGCACGCGTGTTAATGCGTATAGCGTGTTCTCACAGACTCACTGCCAACACACCAAGATCTCCTTTGAAACAGCAAGGTATTTTCTAGAAGCCACTGATTTTTTCACTAATGAAGGGTGAGATTTGTTGGCATCATACAACTGAGATTTAGAGTAGCGTGACAAAGGATGAGAAGGGACATTCAATATGGAGAGTTGGAAAAGATGAGTGTTCCATTACAGCCCAGAAAACTGGATAGTAGGCAAGAAAAGGTGAAAACAGAAACCAAAGTCCATCCCCCATCAAAAAAAAAAAAAAAAAAAAAAAAAAAAAAAAAAAAAAAAAAAAAAAAAAAAAAAAAAAAAAAAAAAAAAAACCAAAAAACCAACAAACAAAAAAACCAGCCACCACATTATGTAGGTAAAAATGGAAACTGAATATTAGGAAAGGCTTCTAACAATGCTATCATTTTGAGGGTGTAATTATCTCTTCAAAGAAGTGGAAGACTCTCCTTTATTTAGTCTCTTAGAAAATACCTGTCCAGCTAGAAATCCAGAGCCTGGCAGCAACAATGCACTCACCAGAAAGGGTCTTGATAACCCCAGGCTTTGATTTCTTTGATTCTGGAATAATTCAAAAGAGCATTTATTCATTCAGACAAGTACACTGTATCAAGGGTTTTTTTGTTTGTTTTTCTTTGTTAAGTCAAACTTTAGAGGGAAATAAAACCCCTAGATCCTGGAGAATCAAGCATTGGTGCTGGTTAGCCTTACAGTCTGTGCCAGGCCGGGCATCTGCGAGTGTTTGGCCAGGGGAGGTGAGGAGTGTCAGGACATCAGTGTTGGATGGGAAACCTGTGCTTGGGATTGGATGGGTCTGGACTTCGATTCTGACTAGGCCATCTGCAAGCTGTGGGACCTTGGGTAACTGAGTCAGCATCTCTGCACAGTGAGAATACTTGAAGCTCTGTCATTAGGGAGACCTCTGAAGCAGGGTACTTGGGAATCTTTCTCTTGCAAAGTCATTCCTGGGGATCTGTACTAGGAGCAGCTTCCATGTGACCCACAGCCTTTCAGGGGTTTATTTCTTTGTATTCTATCTGAAATGTTTTGCCCCTTGCTTTTCAGTGGTAGCTGTGCTTTGCTTTAGTGGAATATGAAGAACCAGAATAAAGACAGATTTGTAAGACCCTATTAGCAGTTAATGCTTATATTAAATTTAGAGGGGGGGGGAAGAATATGTAGACATGATTTTTAAAGGTGCTCCATGGCCTGGAGGTTAAGGCGGCCAAATCCCACATGGTCGACCACATGGTTTGAGTCCTGGACCCGGTAGCTTGAGAAACACACTGGGCACATGTGCACACATGCTCAAAATCCCGAAAGGAGGAAGTGGAGGGATTGCAGTGTGGCCATGCCCCATGGGAGGTGCTTTCTCCTTTGCTTCTCTCCGTCTCTCTCTGGCAAGCACATGCACCCTCTAGCAATAAATGAAAGAATAAATAAATAAAGGTGGTATTTATGATTAAAAATCTCATCCTAATCTGAAAAATCCCAGAAGATCAGACACTAGCAACTGACCCAGCGATCTTTTATTGCTTATTAAGATGTTATAATAGAACTTAAAGTGATGCTTGAATTTAAACCACATTAACCTGAGATGTTCTAGTAGTTTGCTTTCTGGAAAGAGATGAACTACTTATTTCCCTTTAGTACAGAGTTAGAGAAAGAGCCCTGTATTTGTCTCAGTCATAATAAAGAAGTACATAAAGGCTGCTTTTCCTCTGTCTCTGGTATTATGTCTAAATAATCTTATGTCAGTAACATGTACTTTGCACCTCCAGGGCTAATGTGCAACTTTAATGACCTGAGTCCTTCACAGAAAGAGCAGGCTAATTGTTTTCCAGATTACAATGGTTTAAAAAATAAAAAATCCATCTCTGACTTTTTCCTAAGAAATGCTAATTAAGCCTACATTTTTCTATCAAAAAATGACATTGTTGCTTTCTAAGAAGGTATAGATGGGGCACTTAATCAGAGCACCCATTATGGTGTGGAAGGCCTAGCTGAAGGACAGATTCTCATGGGTATATGACCATTTTATTGCTTTTTTCAGCCCGCGGCCGCCAATCCCACTGTCCCTCCTGCTAACAGAAGAGGCAGCAGCGATTGCAATTCAGTCCTTCTGGAGAGCCTATTTGGTAAGAGTCATGTGTAGTTGTAGCATTTGGCTTGATGGGGAATTTTCATGACATGGAATGCCTGTGGGAAAAGCCTTAGATGAGTTTGTAGCAGGAGATATTATAGCTAACATCTAGACCTCAGAAATAGGATTTGCTATAAAATAGATCGTAAAGAGAGATTTAAATTTATTACCAAAATTTATTTTGAAACTATTATTAAAAGAACCTGGGACCAGCAGTTAGCGTAATGGCTATGTCGCTGGACTCCCACGTAGTCAACCGCGGTTCGCGTCCTGGACCTGGTGGCTTAAACTCACGCCGGGCGCGTGTGCATGTGTGCCCAAGATTCTGAGAGGAGAATGGAGGAGAAGGAATTGTGGCATGGCCATCCCCCCTGGGGGGTGATTTCTCGCTTTCTGTCTCTCTCTCTGTCTGGCGAGTGCACGTGCCCTAGAGCAAAAACCTCTCCAAAAAAAAAAAAAAAGAATCTGCCATCCTTTTCATTGGATTGACTGGCCTGTATTGCCTAAATAATATTACATATATACAGGGAAGACTCCACTATCATTTCATTTTTTTAAATGTTAAAATGCAGATTATTCAGATAAAGCAAATTAAAATGTTTGAGTTGCTGATAACTCTATCACTGAAAAATAATCATTGTTATTATTTTGGGGTCAAACATTCTAAACCTTAATACTCTTAATACATGGAGTGACATAAAAATACTTACGATATAGAAACTAACCCTTTCTTTTACAACTGTTTTTTCCAACTATTTTTCTGTTTGAGACTTTGAGATTATTTCCATTTTTACAATAATTGCTGCAATACACATGTTTGTGCAGTCAGCTTTGCACATTTGTCCAAGCATTTATGTAGGAAGTATTCTAGAAGGGAAATGTCTAGGTCAAAAGGTGAGTTCCTTTTTTAAACTCCTGATCCATATTTTCCTGTAGTCCTTCAGGAAAGATGTTCTTTAAAAAATGTTTACCAAATACATATCCAAGTGGCATGTGTATCTCATGCTAAAAAACATGCAATCTCTCCAATTATTTGGCTATTAGAATATCCAAATTAACAAGCTTCCAGGTGAACATGAAACTCCCAGTCTAGGTGACAATATAGATCTACCCATGTCTGAGAGTTGTCCATCAATGAAATGAGCTTAGATTTGATATCAGTCTTGGTAAACACTGCCTTAGGGAAAGGTCCCCGTGGACTTACATGGAAGGCTAAGATCTCCCTATTAATGCAGTCCTTGGTGCTAGTGTTGGAGAAAGAGACTGAGATGAACACATCAGTGGACAACTTTTCATCAAGAAGTGAGTCCTGATGAGCTACAACCAGTCAACTTAATAGCATTTGTTTTGTGCCCATTAGTGGAACTGTCTCTGATCAAAGGAGCTTACCATGTGAGGCAATGTTGTCTAGTCGCTCCATTCCTTTTGTGCACAGCACACTCATGAAAACATGGGCTGAAGTGAAGTGTGACCATTAAATGATAGGCTTGCACATTAAAGGAGCAATCTGTGCCCAAAGAATGAAAACAAGTCACAAAATCCCTATCATACTCTGCAATTTAGACATAATCTTTGATGATGTAGGTTTTCAGTATTTCATACATACTTTGTAATCGTGGTCTTTTTCCTTCATAATTGAACACTAACAGGTTAGGCTAAGTTCAGTAATGTCCAACCAAGGGGAAAGATTCCTAGTTTTCACCGGGTATTACATTCATGAAATGTATATTTGCTCCACTGGAATAGGCAATTTTACTTTTTCAATTTTATGTACCTTTCTATGAAATGATAAGAGCAAAGTCTCATCAAGTAGTGATTTTCAGACTTTATTTTCTTTTAAACAGCAGAGCCCTTGTTTTCAACCAAATCATATCCAGAAGCTAGTAAGTAACAGTAAAAGGAGAACTGTTCTGTCTCTGATTCTCCCATGCAGTAAGACTTTCTGTCCTCACCCGTCCACATGCTGGGAGCTTTGGGGCTTATTCTCAGTGCTACAGCATGAAAATAGTTTTGAGGCAGCTGAATTCAGCTTGTCATACCAACGAACACTGCCGTATTAAAAGATGTCAAAGTGGCTCAAAATTTAACTGGCTGTACCACCATTATCACACAATAGCTAGAAATGTTTGTCAAGATACAAAAGATGTTGGGAACAGCAGTTAGTGTAATGGCTATGTCGCTGGACTCCCACGTAGTCGACCGCGGTTCGTGTCCCAGACCCGGTGGCTTAAAACTCATGCGGGGTGCGTGTGCGTGCGTGCCCAAGATCCTGAGAGGAGAATGGAGGAGAAGGGATTGCGGCGTGACCATCCCCCCTGGGGGGTGATTTCTCGCTTTCTGTCTCTACGTCTCTCTTTGTCTATCTGGTGAGCGCACGCGCCCTATAATGAAAACCTCTCCCCCCCCCAAAAAAAGATACAAAAGATGTTCAGGGTTTCAGTGTATACTATGAAAGTTTATTGTTATTCAAATCCAAACACCAATTGTGCTAAAAACATAACTGAAGGGGGCCAAGGGAGAAGGAAAAATTCTTAAGCCCTCATTCCAAGGAAAAGATGCCTGATGTATGGGATGATCTTGGGAGGCACCACCATAGAGGGGGACTTGATCTCAGCCTTAAAGGAAAGGTGGAACACTCTGGTCTGTCAGCTGGAACCAAAAAGGCATCCAGGGAGAAGAAACAGCGTATGTATACCATGCCATTCTTAAGTTAAACATATTTGTACATTTTCAGCACACACACACACACACAGAGGCATGCATAGGGAAATATCTGAATCCAAACACAGCAATATAAGAGTTGATACCTTGGAGTGGCTGGAAAGGAACTAGGGAGAGTCTACCTTTATATATACCAAACACATTTTTAATTAAGAGAATGTAGTGTGGTTTTGTTTAGTCAAGAATGAACTTAACTATATGATCACCTCAGTGGATACAGAAAAATAATTTGACAAAACTCAATATGTTTTCATGATAGAAATACTCAACAAACAGAAGAAAATTTCTCAACCTGATAAAGGGTGTCTATGAAAACCGCACAGATATTATCATATTTAATATTGAAAGACTAGATGTTTTCCCCACTAAGACTAGGAAATTAAATTGCTGCTTCAATTTAACATGGTACTAGAGATTCTAGCAAGAGAAATTAATAAGAAAAAGATATAAAAAAATTTAGATTGGCAAGGAAGAAGTAAAACTATCTCTAGTAATAGACAGTATGGTCTTTTATGTAGAAAGTCCCAAGGAATTCACTTAAAAAAAAAAAAACCCTTAAACTAATAAACAAGTTTAGTAAGGTTGGAGGATACAAGATCAATATACAAAAGTTATTTGCATATCTGTACATTTAGCATTGAGTAATCCAAAAAGGAAATTAAGAAAACAGATCTTTTTGTAATAGCATCAAAAAGAATGAAATATGTAGAGAAATAAATTTAACAAAATAGGTATAATACTTAAAACCAAAAAATACCCAAAACTATAAAACATTGTTAAAAGAAATTTTAAAAGGTCTGAACAAATGGAAAAACATTCCATGTTCATTAATAACTAAATGGTGATGATAGGACTCCCTAAATTGATGTATAGATTCAATGTAGTCCCTATCAAAATCTCAGCTGGATTTTTTATTTTTATTGCTGGTGGGCATGTGCACTTACCAGAGAGAGAGAAAGAGAGAGAAAGCACCCCCAAATGGGGTGCAGTCATGCTGCAATCCCTCCTCCTCCATATCTCCACCTCATTGGAATTTGGAGCAAATTTGTACACGTGCCCAGTGTGGTGCTTGGGCACGCATGCACACGTGCCCAGCGTGAGTTTTTAAGCCACCGGGTCTGGGACGCGAACCGCGGTCGACTACATGGGAGTCCAGCGACATAGCCATTACACTAACTGCTGGTTCCCGTGCCCAATGTATTTTTAAGCTGCCAGGACCAAGACCGAACTCTGGTCAACCATGTGAGATCTTGCTCCCTTAGCCACTGCTTTATGGGGCCATTTTGTTTGTTTGTTTGTTTGGTTGGTTTTTTTTAGAAATGAGCAAGCTGATCCTGACATTCACATGAAAATCCAAGGAATCTAAAATAGTCAAAATAATTGTGAAAAAGAAAAACAAATTTAGAGGACTCACATTTTTCTAATTCAAATCTTAACTACAAAGTCACAATCAAAACTGAGTAGTACTAGCATAGAGATAAACAAATAGTCAATGGACTAGAACTAAGAGTCCAGAAATAGATAATGCATTTATGGTCAATTGATATTTGAGAAAGGTGCCATGACCATTCAATAGGGAAAAAAATAGTCTTTTCAACAAATGGTTCTGAGATAACTGCCTAACTACATGCAAAAGAGTGAATTTAGAACCTCTACTTCATACCATGTACAAAATTTAATTCAAAATTGAAGACCTAAATGAAAATGCTAAAGCTATAAAAATCTTAAAGGAAAATGTAAATGTAAATTTTCATTACCTTGAATTAAGCAACAATTTATTTAACAAAAAGCATAAACAATACAAGAAAATATACATGAACTGGACATAAATGAAATTTTAAAAATTTCTGCTTCAAAGATCACCATCAAGTGAGTGAAAAGACAACCCACAGAATGAAGGGAAAAAATCTGCATATCATCAAGCAAAGATCTAATATCTTTAATATCTAAATGATTCTCACAACCTAACAACAAAAATACAAATAAACTATTTACAAAATTGGCAAAAAATTTGAATAGATACTTTTCTTAAGAATATGAACAAATGGCAAATAAGAACATGAAAAGATGTTCAATATCACTAGTCATCAAGAAATGTAAATCAAAACTACAATGAGATAACACTTTATAACCACTATACATCTGTAAACAAAAAGACAATAACAAGGACCAACAGGTGGTGTGGTGGTTAAAGTGCTAGATTCTCACATGACTGACAGCAGTTCAAATCCCAGACCTAGCGCCTTAAAACTTATACTGGGTGCATGTGTGTGA